GGGGGCACACCCAGCAGCAGTGCGGGTGAAAGCCGTTGATGGAGCGTTCGTCCCGGTCCAGTGACATGGTCGCTGCAGCCGGAGGGGCAGGACATTCGGTCCCGGGGCGGACAGCGTCTCCTCGACGCCCTGCACACAGCCACCCCGCACTTCACCCTCACAGATGTTTCTGTCGACCGACTCACCTTCCTCCCTTAGCTACATTTATTCTTCAAGGAAATGTAACATATGTACCATAAATAGAGAAACCAACACATTTCTAGGGCACATTTGACAACCAGTAACATAAAAACTGCTCGCCCATATTGAACCTGCAATGGTCCTGCGTCCGTGCTGTGGCATGTGGGCAGAGCACACAGTGGGGACATATCAGCAGCCAGTGCCCAGCTCCGGATCCGTCAGTACAGCAAATTCCAGGCAAAGAGGCACCCTTGACAGTCAAGGTCAGGGCTGGCAGAGCCACACAAGTGCCGTTGCCACCAGGGAGGCTGGGCATGTCCCCACCAAGGGTGTCTCCATGAGCAGGGGGACCCCTCCCCAAGCACGTAAGCTTGAGGAGGGGTTGCTGCCCACCCTGGATGAGACCTTCTTGTGGGGGGCGTGGTGCCATCGATGGGGAAGGGTGCACCTGCCCCCCTTGAGACAGGTCCAGCCGAGTGAGAATGGCTCCTTCCCTGAGACCCACCGCACCGTCTGCACACCTTCGATTGGGCCAATTGATTTTCACTCTGGCAGGCAACCCAGAGTCACTCCTAGAAGAAGAATTGGAAAGTTAATTCATAACTAGGATATTCAGAGGAGGCCTCTCTCCTTCCTTTCCCCCTCTTCCTCCCCTCTTTCCTTCCTTGCTCTTTATAGAAGTGTGTAACTCACATTAAAAGTCCACACATTTCTAACGGCTTTTGAGGTTCACTCATGAGACAAATATAATTGTCAATTAATCAGTTTCAATTTGGAAACTACACAGACAAGTAAATATTTTAATAGTGATGCAGTGCCTCTTGGTGTGTTTGTATTAAACAGGTTCAAGCACAGCTTTTGCAGTTTGCAGCAAAAAACATTGGTCTCAACCCTGCACTATTAACCTCGCCAATTAACCCTCAGCATATGACGATGTTGAACCAGCTCTATCAGCTGCAGCTGGTGAGTGGACAGCCCGTCCAAGTTCACGCTCTGGCGCGAAGAGGAGCCCTGATGGCCACGGAGATGCCGCGTGTAGCGATGCCGCAGCGCACACTGGCTGATAAGAGTAGTCAGAGAACACTTTTTTGGCGTTTACATTATGAACTATAAAAAGAATTTAGGAAGCGTTTCGCTTACGGGTGTTTTACTAAGGTCTGTAAACTCCACCTCCTCCGTGTTCACAGAACCTCCCTGATCTCAGGAGCTTGAGCTCTTGACCAGACTTCTCATCTCAAAAGTCAGATGACAGAACACAAAATAATATCAGTGGCTATTTTCTAAATTCTTCTAAGGATGGAATACACAAATACTCTACTATGAGAGAAGCTGCTTTATTATAAAGTAGATGTTGAGGAATCCCCGAGGAGGACAGCTGGTGGAGCCCAGTAACTGTTTTTCACCCTCACCAGGAACATATTTCCATTGACTTCAGAGAAAGAGGAAGGGGGAGGGTGGGGAGAGAAATGCCAGTCGGTTGCCTCCTGTGTGTGCCCTGACCAGAAAACAAACCCTGGACCCTTTGGTGCACAGAACAGCACTCCAACCAACTGGGCCACACCAGCCAGGGCAGCCCAGTACTTCTTGAAAGTTTTATAATTCAACATATCTTGAATTTTGAATTGTTAACAGTCATGTTGCTTTTACTATAAAATAACGTGTGATTGTGTCGCTAGACGCATACTGAATTTACATCCACTAAAGGACCACTTGTATCTTTCCTGCTTTCATATGGTGACGTCTGATTTATTTAGAAGGGTGGTCCCACAATGTCATCTCATAGAAAATGACCGGGAATCATAAAGAAAAAGGCCTCCAGTAGACAAAACCATTGTCATCAAACCATTCCTTCCAGGAGAATGTCCTGGAGACAGGTCGTAGTGTTCAGGAGTACTCAGAGCTGGGGCGTGGGGGGAGTCAGGGCACCAGGACGGACTGGGCTCTCCGGCTGTTTTTTCATCCATAAAAGGGAGGTGGGCTCCTTTCCGTGTGGTGGTAAGCCCTCCTGAGGCCTGAGAGCCACGGGCAGTGGCTCAAGAGCACAGTATTGTTGCTTACAACCGCCAGCAGTAGACCTTGACCTCAGGTGGGGAGGAAACCACCACAAAGCATATTATTTCCAATTCTTACTAGAGAGGAAATGGTTCTCTGCTCCTGAGAACACGAGCACACTGCTGTGTTCTGACGGGACACGGTGCTGGCTGTCGCACTGATGGTCTAGGATCTTCCTGTCAGTCAGTGTTATCCACCCTGTTGTGTGAAAGACGCCACAGAAATGTTCTGATTTAAAAACAGCGTACACTGTTCTTATGTTTTTTCCAGAAGAGTTGGTAATGTTTCGGTGCATCCTAAGGTTCTGTTTTAGGACCTATAAGGATTCACTTAAGTGCAGTACTTTATTCGTTCCTACTTTACATATTAATGAGGCACGTCCAGTAGTATAGTTTCTACATGTATTTACGATATTTCAACCATCATTTTGAAACAGTCAGATGACCAAACCTGCGTCTGTGTACAGAAGAGCGCCACGCTGTTTCCCCGGCCCCGCAGGTGGGGCCTGTGAGACACGCCACGGTCTGGACTTCAGACTACGTGTGCACCGAGCTCGTCACACAGCTCCCGTACCTACGAGCCCTGGAATGTGGCATCCTGCGCTCCGGCAGCGCGCCCGCGGCCTGCCCCTTTCCTGAGCCGCTCAGACAGCTTCAGTTTGTGACAGCATAAGAATAAATATTTCTACATTTTACTCTCCTTTTTATTTTTATAAATTTTTTTATTGATTTGAGAGAGAGAGAGAAGAAGGGAGAGAGAGAGACATCGATTTGCTGCTCCTCCCGTTTGTGCTGCACTGGTTGATTGTTGTGTGTGCCCTGACCGGGGATCAAACCCCACCCTTAGCGTGTGGGGATGACACCGTAACCACCGAGCTGCCCGGCAGGGCCTGTCCTCATTTCTTTTTACTTTTAGTTTGTGTGACTACAGCAGAAGTTTGACCTCTTCGTTAAATTAACTGAAAGTTATTTACGACCGACTTCTCCAGCAGCACTCCGCAGGGCCCTGGCCGGGGTGCGCTGTCAGGACCCATGTGCTGGGGGTGGGAGGGCATTTCTCTTAAAAGGGTTTCTCGCCTGCAGTGTGAGCCACAGCATGGGAAGGGGACTGAGACTCCTGGCCATTTTCTCTTTTTACTTTTTAACCAGTACTGAAACTGAACACTCGGCAGTGGCTTTTTACGGTGCTTAATTGCTCTTTCTGTCTGCAGGCGTACCAACGTTTACAAATCCAGCAGCAGATGCTACAGGCCCAGCGGAACGTGTCCGGCCCCATGAGACAGCAGGAGCAGCAAGTGGGTATCGTCGAGGCGTAGCGGGCCCCTGAGCTCTAGTCCCCCTGTTCCAGGAGGCACTAAGAGATGGGCTGTTCTGTTGCCACTGGGTTTTCTCTCGCTAAGCCTCTCCTTTTACAAGTCTTGGGGTCACCTAGGTTTGGGAGGAGGTTGGCCCAGCCAGCAGTGTCCTAGGCGTAAACGTAATAGAGACTGACAAAAGGGTGACCAGCCGGTGTCACTTCTCCCGCTAACGCGCACGTGTCCACTGCCAGGTCGCGCGCACAATCACTAACCTGCAGCAGCAGATCCAGCAGCAGCAGCGCCAGCTGGCCCAGGCCCTGCTCGTGAAGCCCCCACCGCCCCCGCCGCACCTGTCTCTGCACCCATCTGCAGGCAAATCGGCCATGGACAGCTTCCCCCCGCACCCCCAGGCCACCGGCCTGCCTGACCTGCAGACCAAAGAGCAGCAGTCTTCACCCAACACCTTTGCTCCTTACCCTCTCGGTGAGTCTCCGCTGGGTCAGAGCCATCCCCAGCTGGGGGGTGCCTGGGTCACCATGTGACAGCCAGGGCTGGAAGGTCGCGTGGGCCATGCCGTCCCCAGCAGTCTGAGAGTAGCTGTTCCGGCTCCTCGCTGCGGAGCAGGAGCTTTGCTGTAAACACCTCCAGTGATAAACCTGCGGCAGCAGCACGAAGGCCCACCGCCGCCTCTGCGCCCAGCACGCAGGAGAGGAGCAGTGAGCCCTGGCTTGGGGATTAGACCGTCCCAGCTCCGCCTCTGCTGGCTCACCTCCTATTTGTGCAACTTGCCTGATGCCCTTTGCCTCAGTTTCCCCATCTGTAAGGTGGGGATGCTTACCTCAGAGGTAACTCATTCCTCCAAAGAGTAAATGAGTTAATATGTGATGCTCTTAGGGCAGCGCCTGGCATGGCGATTGCTTTGTGGAGTGTTGGCTGTCCAGGGAAGAGCATCTTTCTTAAGACTAGTAGTTTTAGGAGCAAACTCCACTCCATCCTTACCCTAAAATGCTTTAGCTTCAGCTCCCATGCATGTGTCTGTCTCAACCTGTTTGGAGAGTGACCAACTCTTCAAAATTAGATGAAAAATAACTTGGATAAAATTGCCTAGTCTTCACGTCAAAGTGTATTAACAATAACTAGCTATCAGAGTATAGGAAACAGCCTGTGATGTCGCCCCCTAGGGTCAGTGCCCAGCAGTGTCTCAGCCACTGTCACTCCAGCCACCTTCCTCCACGTGACCTCTGCTTGTTATGCTGACTCCTGGAGGTGGCCGTCCACACAGGAAGACCAGACGCATAGAAACGAGAGAACGCCCCCCGCAGGCATGGCCACCCTAGAGCGCTCTGGGGAAGGGGGCGCTCGTGCCCTCCTCACACAGTTGAAAGGAAACTCAGAGCAGGGTTTCAGCTTGGACCTCGGGCCAAGTCAGAGTCAGCAGAGGAGGAGGGAGCCTGCACAGAGGAGAGGGCGCCCCGGCTGTCTACCGACAGGGCAGTCTGGTGGCCGGCGGAGGGAGTACAAAAATTTGGGAGAGGTGGGCTAAGGCCCAGCTTGGGACCTGGAGCCCTTTGACCCCCTAACCTCACCAGGTCTGTACAGTGGAAGCGAAGGCAGGTGGTGAAAGCAGAGACTGCAAATGGCAGCATCTCACAGAGGGCTTTTGTTAGGTCTGCACGGTGTGTGCGTGTGCGCATTTAAAAATTGGAAAGTTTCAAATAAAAGTGGCCCATGGTTTCTCTTGAGAATGGCAACATTGGTTCTGATTTTGTGTGGCACCAATAGCACCTGCCAACTCAGGACAAGCCCTGTCTAGTTGCCACAGTCCCCACCAGGCCACTTCCCCTGCATTTGCATTGCCCACTTGGCCTGTCTAGGCATTTGAGTTTGTAGCCCCTGACTTTAAGCTAAGAACAAAACTGTCGAACAAAACTGCCCTGCTTAGGAGTAGAGACTCGCCTGTGCTTGTGTGCCAGGGCCTGCGGGTGGGGCCTGCAGCTGGCAGTGATCCGTGAATACTAAGTGGCGCTCCCGTTGGTGATTCTGCCCAGCTCATAACTGGTGTCCCCACCAGGAGCTCTTTTCCCCAACCTTCTTATCACCCATGTCCTCCTACCTCTTCATTAACCTGGCACAGGGATGGTACTCCACCGAAACCCAGTACCTGCTTTTCCTGCAACAAACAGCCAAGGCTGGCCCCACACTGCCGCCAGCAGCAGCGCCCGCTCTCAGTTCACTCCCTTAGAAGGTGTTTGTGTTGAACTCACAAACTCCCACCAAGCAGTTGGTAAAGGCCTTTCACTGAAGGTGGACTCAATTATCCCAGCCAGTGCTGAGCACTGGAAAAGTAACATAAAAGAGACTTGTTGGTCTTAATCAACGGCTACTCGTTACCATTTCACCTTAATCCAGGGATGGTATTCTTAGAAATGTGTGGTATTAAAAAGACAAGGTTTCTTTTCCCACCAGCACTAAATGCTCAAATGTTTGGCGGTGAATTAAGTCTTAGATTGGTTCTCTAGGAGAGCCTTAGAAAGTGACTGTTTTGAGGACAGGTAGGCCTGCCCTAACAGTGTTTCTGTTCTCAGCTGGACTGAACCCAAACATGAATGTCAGCAGCATGGACATGACTGGCGGTCTGGCGGTGAAGGACCCGTCTCAGTCCCAGTCGCGCCTCCCTCAGTGGACACACCCCAACCCAATGGATAACGTACCCGGTGCTGCTTCTCCTCTCGACCAGAACCCCGGCAAGCACGGTACGGCCGAGCCCTGCACCCAGTGATGCCCAGCACTCTCCTTCATCACTCGCGCGTTTCTCTTCTAAGAACTCAGCTCAGAGGACACAAGGTCCCAGATAGTCAGTGATCCAACTTCTTACAACCTCAAGCCCCAGATCTTAGCTGCAAACCCAGAAGAAACTGAAAATGCCCCAGGGCAGCAAACAGTACAGGTCGCAGCTGCATACTTTTTGTCTATGTCTGTGTTCTTCAAAAAATTTTAGCTTACTGAACAGGAAGTTTTTTCAATAAAATGATAAAGCGCAGTAGACAGCCAGTGGTTAGGAAGGAGGAAGACACACACGTGCTGGCGACCTCAGAGGTGACCCCACTATTGAGCGTTGAGTTCAGCTCTGGATTTCCTGGTAGCATGAGCAGCACAGAAAGTGAAGCTGGGTATATAATTCTCTCTTGATATAAAGCAAGGGTTTATTCTAAGGGTTAATTCTCCAAGAAAGTCATCACGTGCTGTCTGGCACTTTCCTTGGCACGAGAGAGCTCAGGCCTGTGGCGAGGTGGGTTATCCTGTGGTCAGGGCCTCTGAGTTTACACGCCAGTTTTTCCTTCCCTAGTGAGGGCAGCATCTGGAGGGAGCCAAGGACAGAGACACCAGCTCAGCATACACTCACAGGTTGTCCCAGGAAAGGCTCCGTGGGGCCAGCTTCCTGTTGGCTGGGTACACGTTTTATCAGGACATCCGACTGGACAAACTGAGGCAGTTCTTGAAGAGTTTGTCTTTCAGGGACGAAGTCACTTGTCCCCAGAGAATGCTGGGCTATCCAAGCCCAACAGTCCACATTCCTGTGCAAAGGACAAGACTGGTGCTTGGCAGGGAGGGCTTGGGCTTGCCCGGCTCACGCTGTTCCCTGTTGTGCCCGCAGGTGCTATCCCTGGAGGTCTGGGCATTGGGCCTCCAGCCAAGTCCTCCATTGACGACTCCTATGGCCGGTACGACTTGATTCAGAACAGCGAGTCACCAGCCAGTCCTCCAGTAGCCGTCCCCCATAGCTGGTCGCGTGCCAAATCTGACAGTGATAAAATCTCAAACGGCTCCAGCATCAACTGGCCCCCAGGTAAGAGGGGGCGGCACTCTGCAGCCGCAAATCAGAATGGGCTCCACGCCCCATGCCCCGGCAGAGCGGGCAGGCCTAGCTGAGAGTCCTGCAAGCACCAGCCCACAGCTTTGGCTTTTTCTCTGGAACCCACTGGTCAGATCAGTTTTGGGGGTGGTTGGCGCCGAGTGCTGTAGCCCCTTAGTTCAGCTAAAGGACTGACGGGGCATGGCACTGGATTCCACCTGGGCCAGTGGCTTCCAGGCTTTAGTTGTAATGCCTGCTTCTCATTGGTTCAGAGGATTGATGACTGACTGAAAGAAAGTCTTAAATTGTTCCTTTCCATTTAATTAGCAGATTATTAAAATTCCCGTCAGTGTGAAGGCTCCTAATCCTCCTGTTTTGATCTCATTCTGTTTGCAATTTTCCAGAATTTCACCCTGGAGTTCCGTGGAAAGGACTTCAGAACATAGACCCCGAGAATGACCCTGACGTCACTCCTGGAAGTGTCCCCACTGGGCCCACCATCAACACCACCATACAGGACGTCAACCGCTACCTCCTCAAGAGCGGAGGTGAGGAGCCCATCTGCATTCCTGCGGCAGCTCCGTGGCGCTCAGCGGTGGCAGGGGTGGCAGGAGATGTGCGGGGTGGGCAGCTTCTCCAGCCATGGGCAGCAACACAGGAAGAGGCCAGTGGTCCTTACGGTGAAAGTGCAGGTGGATTTGGGCCAAATGTTTTTGCTGGGTTTACTCACACACCGTGTTTTATAAACTTTGTGTTATAAAACCACAGTATTAACCATTAAGCTTTTTAATGAAAAGATTTCCACTTGAAATCTCTTTAAACTGAAAATGAACTAACAACCTTCATTCATTCACCTCAGTCTAGTTTTCGTTTCCACAAGAGATCTGGTAAAGAGCCTGAAATCCATGCCCAGGACCTCCTCCCTGGATACATTCACGATGCTGAGCCTGGGCACAGCTGTGTCAGACTTGGGGTTGGGTAGAAGGAAGTGGGGGCAGAGCTGTGCAATTAGAGAGCATCATAGATGTCCAGCGCAGCACTGGGAGGGCAGGACGGCTCTCCCTGGGGCCTGCAGCCAGTGCCCTATGGGTGCCACTGTTGGGAAAGGTTGGCACCCAGCGCTCAAACGGGGGGGAGCTGCCGGATTCCCATAGATGTCATCACTGGTAAAAACCCAGGCACAGTCCCCAGGGGGGCCTACGGGAGAGGTGCATTCTTTTTATGGCTCTTTAAGTGATGGGATCCTGAGTGTGTCTGGGGTTGGGGAGATCACCAATGTAAGTGCAGATCATCCTTCCCACTCAGTGCTGCACCTCCTCACGTTTCCATGTGGTGGCTTCTTCTGGTAGAGCGTTGTGTGCATCCCTGCTATCGGGGACATATGGGTGGTACAGGGGACACAGAGCTGTGGGAAATGCAGCCTGTATGAGAGGGCGGGGGGCCAGGGCGAGGCACAGCAGAGAGGAAGGACTCAGTCCTCGATGCTCATCACTCTGAGTGTGGCGGCACGGTTGTGTCCAGCATACCTGGAGGGTTGTGGAGAAGTGTGGGTAACTGCCAACCTGGGCATAAAAGATGTTGAAAAGAACTGGGGTTGTTGGGTGTAGAATAGAGCTTCCTGCCAGAGGCTCAATGGATCATCTGGTGCCCCCTGGTCTCCAGGGCCCGGGGGCATTGTGGGCGACCTCTGCATTGGGATGTCGGTGTCTGAAAACAAGGAGGCGGGGCCTCTAGCTCCAGGATAGAAATCAGACACCATCCTACTGGGTGACTGGAAGCTTCACATGACTTTCTCCATGTGGTGTCACGTGTGGCATCGTGCGACATCTTTGGCTTGACCGTTAGGGGCAGCTCAGCTCAGGTACTTCCTCTGTCCCAGCACCAGGCCACCTCCTGGAAAACCCTGGCTCCTCCACTCCAGCGCCCAGAGTGGTTTGTTATTTGGGAGAAGGGGAGCAGAATGAGCACATCTTTGTGGAACCGTTGTTTACCAGAATCGCCACCACAGCAGGGCAGTGAAGAAACTGCAGAGGCTGCACCGTGCCGACCCCTTTCTACAGGGCAGGACGTGCTGCCTCACACCAGGAGCTCCTGAGCGTCCTCGCTGGCTGACCCAGCTCGGACCGGCCACGCAGGGCCCTGGTGTCTGAGTGACCAACTGGATCTGAAGCACAGAGAGTGTGAAATTAAGAAAACTTGCCCTGCCCTGGGTGACTGGAAGGAGAACAGTGAGAAGCAGCCACCAATTTTATATATTTCCGCAGTGGAATTTCTTTTATTGAGTACACTAGGTCTTGTCTTTCTTACATTGTTGCTTTTTATTTATTGGCATTAAGCTCTGACTTGGTACTAAGAATTTACACTAGCCCAGTGTTTGTTCCGGTGTTGGAGCTTCACCTTCGGAGATGACTGTGCCAGGCTGCAGTGCACTAGGCTCTCTCCGACGCTGACACTAACACTTCCTCAGGAAAGGAAAATTGTAGTTTATGGGATAAGTTCCACTGTTAAAACCAAATATTTCCAAACTAGGACACGGTTAAAATATAAGTTCTCTGCTGTTAATTATAACGTGAAAAGACATTCACATAGGATGAAATAGTCTGCTATCTTGGGCTCTAGGGTTGATCGCGTGTTGGTAAACGAAAGGAGGGGGTTTAGGAAGTGAGCTTAGGGTATCCACAGGCCTCTGTCCTTTAGAACTGAAGACCTGCAGATATCAGTGAGTTTTAATGTCATCGACTCAGGCGTCCTCGGTCTAAGGAGGCCGGGTACTGGCGGGACAGCTGCAAACAGCTGTGCTGTGAACAGTGGACGCTGCAGCAGCCTGGAAGCCTCTAAGGCTGCCCCGGAGATTGTTTTCTGCACTGCCCAGGAGGGGCCCTGCCATGGGGCTCCCATGTCAACTGAGAGTGTTTGTGGTACAGAACATGACAGCCACACTGTAAGTGCCCATGTCCCCTCCCCCAGCCACCTCCACACAAGTCAAAGAGCTCTGGCTCCATCCTGACCCTCCCCAGCCTCCAGCTCCCTCTGAGAACTGTGAGGGGGCGACATAGAAACACGCCAGCGGCAGAGACGGTGCTTCCCGGGGAGCAGGGTCCCTCTTGGGTGCAGGCGCTTTCAGGGCAGGAAGCTGCTGTCCTGGGGCCATCGCTCAGGTTCGCAGTTAAGAGCACAGGTTTCTCTTCATCACCCCTGCAGTTCAGAGAAATGTGGGAGGTCGTGAGGGGCCTGAGACATTGGAGTCAGAAAAGTGCTCATCTTTCACGGCAAAATTTATCAGGAAGCTTGGAGTTTTGTTTTGTTTTGTTTTGTTTAATTTTGTAATTTTGTGGATATTGTTTGAGGTGTAAGAAGATGGCGACTGCCCCGTCTTTGTATTTTTATCTTGTTTGCAAGGGGAAGTTGATGTGACACTTTAAAGCTCTGGGAGGCACTTTAGACATTCCAGTGACAGGGCCCTCCCTCCCCTCAAGCGGTTGCCTCCCGGCTGTCAGGAAGGGAAACGCAGCCACGGAGTCTGCGAGTCTCTCCAGTAAGAGTAGAGAATGGTCGGTGATAAAGCTCCTGCGGAATTTCATTCTGAAATGTTAAGGCCAGGACATAGGAAGCACGGACGCGCAGGAGCAAACCGGTAGCAGGGTCGCGGACAGAGAACTTACCCGGAGGGTGCGCTGTGCGCAGGCTCTTCACCTGGAGCTCTGCGTCCACCACGCTCCTCACGCGGACCCTCTAAACCCGGGAGCACACTGCGGGGTGCCGCCCCCGGCCCGGGAGAGTCGTCCCCACGGGCTCCCGCATCTTATTCTAGAGAGAAAGAGACAGAGAGAGGGAGATGGAGAGAGAGGGAGAGACAGAGAGAGAGGGACAGAGAGGGAGAGAGACAGAGGGACAGAAAGGGAGTCCGAGAGAGAGAGGGTGAGAACTTCTGCATCATTTTACTCCTTCTAGCATTTACTCTTCCTGATATTTGCAAAGGGGAGGTGTTTAGACCTTTAATGCTTCCATGACGTCCAGCTAAAGAGAAGGGGTGGAATAAAGCCACCTCTCCTGTCCTGAGGCAGGTTTGGCGTTTGTTTCTCTGACCAGTGCCTTGTCTGCTAAGATTGGCATTGTTTGTTGTGGGGTCACTGTCGACGCTGGTGGCCAGGGTTGGAGAACTAACTCGGGTGTGTTGGCCTGGTCCTGCCGTGGGGTCCAAGGAGCACCCTCTGCCTCCAGCACCTGCGCAGGACGGTGAGGCAGGCGTGGCGACATCTAGGTGTCTGCATGTCCAGCTGAGCCCTGGGTGCAGCCAGGACTAGGGCTGAGGGTTGTGACCTCTTCTGCTTTTCTCCAAAGAGCCCTAAAACATGCTTCCCCCACCCAAATGCCAAGATGCCCAACCGCCCAGTTCCGCAGTGTGACACGGAGGGCCCGTCTCAGAGCTGGACAGTATGACAGTGCAGCAGGTTGTGTCACGGGCCTGGCTCTGAACAGGCTGGTACCCAAAGAAGCCCAAACAAGATAGATGCACATCAGCCTCTGACCTTGATTAGTTTGTTACGTCACGTATCCTTGCAGAATGTGTCGATGGGTTAGCTTTAACACCAAACTACAAAAATGCTCTTTCCTTGATGGCAAACTTGTGTTTGGCACAGTTAGCAAACTGGTTAACTCTCAGAAATGCTAGCCAGATCCACACTGAATACAGGCGAAGTTGGAGAGGGCGTGTCCCCTGGGTCTCACGGTTCCTTTTCACCACGCAGCCGCGGTGCCAGAGAGCCCTCGGCGTGGGTCCCAAGCACGCGCTGCCTTCTCTCTCTCAGGAATGCCTGTGCTCCTGTCCCTGCCCTTCCAGGTAAACTGTCAGACATGAAATCGACCTGGTCCTCTGGCCCCGCCTCCCACACGCAAGCCTCTCTGTCTCATGAGCTGTGGAAGGTGCCCAGAAACACTACTGCACCCACGAGGCCACCTCCGGGGCTCACCAATCCCAAGCCTTCCTCCACCTGGGGAGCCAGCCCCCTTGGCTGGACCAGCTCTTACTCCTCCGGTACGCATCGGTCCTCGTGTTCCAAGGGGGAGGGCCCCACACCTACTCTGCTCACCCTCTGGAATATGCCTGCAGCTCCTTTGGAAGGACCCCAGCCCTGGGCCCTGGGAGGGCTTAGAGGGGCCAAGGTGTCCTAGACTCTAGGACATTGTCTGGGCCCAGCTCCAGCTGCCAGTGTTATCAGCATCAGCCCTAGGTGGCCAAACACACGGCAGGTTTGCTCTGAGCGGGGGGCCCAGTGTCACAGCACATCCAGGGCCACACTGGTCCGGGGAGAAGTCTGTCAGCCAGCACAGGATCTCAGTTCCACTCTGATGTGACCTTCTCCACCATGCTTCTCTGGAGCATGTGCCGCGCCACCCCCACCCCCCACCCTGTGTGAGGCCAGCCTCCTAGTGCCACAGCTCAGTGGCTCCCAGTAGACACCCTCTGCCGACCGGTAGGGATGACACAGGCCCCAGGAATCTGAGTCTGAAGTCACTGAGGCTGAAGCCAGCCAGACGGTGGAATGGCCGTCTCCGCCTTTTCATAGCAGCCCTGTGCTTCATCTTACTAACAGGTAGACAGTTCCAGCTGAGCAGGGGCGGCCCAGTCACCCCCCCGGGTCTGCAGGGCTGTGAGGTTCAGTTTAGGCAGTGACGCTCAGTGCTGCCATCCTTGTTGGGAGGTGAGAAACTGTCGGCTAGGAAGGAGCTGACCGAGGTCCTCCCTGGTCTCGTGCAGGTTCTGCTTGGAGCACTGACACCTCAGGAAGGACCAGCAGCTGGCTCGTTCTCCGCAACCTCACGCCCCAGGTACCGTGGGGAGGGTCACCATGGCCCAAGGGTGCCCTCACTCAGGACCCAGGGGGGTATGGGCAGTGAGGAGTGGGTGTGCCCAGGGGCCTTTTAATCGTGTTCCTGGAGAATTGTTCACGTTTTACTCTTCTGAGGCTTGAAAGCTATACCTTTGTAAACAGAGTTGCTCGCCTCTAACTGTACTCACCCACGAGGGGTTTGGCCTGTGCCCCCACCAGGGTTGCGGGCCATGGGCTGCCGGGAACCACGGGCTCCATGTGGTGCGCTCTGGCGAGGGGATCAGGACCAGACGGGCTTCCTCCTGGTTGGCGTCACCAAACATAACTGAAAGTCCCAGGTTTTTAAATTATAGAGCCGTAAGGGTTGTACCATAAAGTCATACATGTTCAGCGCTTTGAAGGACAGGCATTTCCCAGCAGTCAGTGCAGGATTTCATGTGCACTTTCTCTGAAGAGTATAGTGGGAGCAGGCACAGGACGCTCGTGACCGCCCCTCTGCTTCTCCCTCAGATCGATGGCTCCACCCTCCGGACGCTGTGCTTGCAGCACGGGCCGCTCGTCACCTTCCACCTGAACCTGACTCAAGGCAACGCCGTGGTCCGGTACAGCTCCAAGGAGGAGGCCGCCAAGGCCCAGAAGTCCCTGCACATGTAGGTCTCCTCTGCCACTCCCCGCCCCATGTCAGCCCCGCAGGCACAGACACGACTGACTGGTGGCTCTGGGGCTGCAGTCTGAGTGCCCGGTGCCGGCAGGGCTGCTTTCTTCCGAGGCCGCTCTCCTTGGCCTGCGGACGGCCACCCTCTCCCTGTCCTCACGTGGCCGTCTGAGCATGTCTGTGCCCTAACTCCCTCTTCCTGTAAGGACAGCAGCCATTGGGTGAGCACCCACCCTGTGTCCTCATTGTACCTCAATCTCTTCAGAGACCTCTCCCCAAATACAGGAACATCCAGAAGGGTTGGGGGTTAGGGCTTCAACATAGGGATTTGAGAAGAACACAGTTCACCCCTAATGGTATCTTACGCATCTGTTTCTGCTGCTGCTGAGTTGCTGTGGCGGTGCCCTCCATTAGTGGAAGGCCCCCAGGAGAGAGGGTGTAGAGCCAGTGACCCCCCCTGTAACAACAGGCACATGCCCTGTTCGTTCCCACTGCTGGGCTTGGCAGTGGTCCTACAGCCAACTCCCCCCCGAGGAAAGCCGTTTTGATGAGATGTGTGAGTAGACCTCCTCAGTGACATCATCTGAGATGCAGACCCTAGAAATTAGTTGTCCGTTTCAGGCCAGGATGTAAGTCGCTGGTCCTAGGCGATGCTCGGGGTGACTTGTGGGTTTCCACACTTCCTTAGGAATGCACTGTCTGTAGCACACAGTGTACACAGTGTAGCTGCTGGGGTCCAGATGAGGAAACAGTTCACCCCCTGGGCCATGAAGCAGCAGCAGCAGCCACCGAGTGGGCAGAGGTTTCTGGGTGACCTGTGATGGGAACCTCGGCTGCACTTTTTCTGTTCCAAGAACCAAGCCAGCGAGGCAGCCGCAGGCAGAGCTGCTGGGTGTGGTGGGCTGATACTTCGCTGAGAATATTTCCATCTGTGTTCAGCCATCAGGGATGTGTGTCGGTAGTTTCCTTCGAGTGTCCTCTCTGCCCTTGGTGTCAGGATAATACTGGCCTCGTAAAATGAGCTGCCTCTCTTTTGTTTCTGGGAGAGTTTGAAGAGGATGGGTCTTAATTCTGCTTAATTTGCCAGTGAAACCATCTGGACCTGGGCCTCTCGGTACCAGCCAGTCTCCTTGCTTGCAGGTCTCTTTAGATTTCCTGTTACTTCATGGTTCGGCCTTGGTAGGTCAGTGCTCCCAGGAATTCGTCCATTTCTCCCAGGTTATCCATTTGCCGGCACGTAGCTGTCCCTGGTCTGTCAGATCCTGTGCGTTTCTCTGAGTCCGCTGTAATGTCTCCTCATTTCTGATTGTATTTATTTGTCCTCTCTCTCTCTCTTTCTCAGCCTAACTAAAGGTTTGTCGGTTTTATTTATTTTTTCAGAAAGCCAGGTCTCAGTTTTGTTGCTGTTCTCTTTCAGGTGTGTTCTGGGAAACACTACCATCTTGGCCGAGTTTGCTGGCGAGGAAGAAGTGAACCGCTTCTTAGCCCAGGGCCAAGCGCTGCCGCCCACCTCCAGCTGGCAGTCCAGCACCGGGACCAGCCAGACGAGGCTGGGCGCCTCGGGCAGCTCCCACGGCCTGGTGCGGAGCGACGCCGGCCACTGGAACGCCCCGTGCCTGGCAGGCAAAGGGAGCAGCGACCTGCTGTGGGGCGGGGTCCCCCAGTACTCGAGCAGCCTGTGGGGCCCGCCCAGCAGCGACGACGGCAGGGTGATCGGAAGCCCCACCCCGCTGAACACTCTGCTTCCCGGCGACCTTCTTAGTGGGGAGTCCATCTAGGACCAAGGGGACCTGTGGGCACCACAATCATCAGCACTAGGAAGAAAACGCTGACCCTTTCCAGTCCGGGCTCGCTGAGGACCCTGCTTGGCCCGAGCAGCCCGGCAGCCCTTTCAAGTACCTCTGTCCAGTACTGAAGACGAACCCTCGCCACAGCCCTTGCGAACTGTTCCCAGGACAGTGCGGGCTGCGCGTGGTCAGTGTCACATGCTAATGACAGGATGTTTCTCATAGCTTTTTATTTTGTGTCGTCTTATGTTTGTATGGTGTGTTGTTATTTTGATTTTTTAAGTATAAAAGCTGCTTAGAATAGTTCTATCATGAAGGGCACTTTTCAGATTGTGGGCTGGAAAGGGTTATTTTATCAAGGGGG